GGTATGAGATGATTCTAATTTTCATTTCTTTTACCTTCTTTTTCCTTTTTTCTCTTTATTTCATCCCTTCTTATTATAACTTTCCATTACGGTATTTTCTGTAGCTCAAAAAAAGATTGAACTGTAATATGGGGTTGCGTAGGTTCCACGGAGCGGTTTAAGATAACAATTTCGGCGGAGAGTTAGAGCCCTTGAAAGAAAATGCCCCTTTATATTAAGCTTTTTCTCTGCGCTTTTAGTTGACGACATATTTTGATCACTTAAAATTCTTGGCAATCCTCCGGCTTCCGATTACCGATCCACTGCTGAAGAAATAGCCAGTGGGGTTTTTATGCGTTTTGTGCTGTGTAACAGCACTACAAAACGCATATTGTCACAGGGTTGTCTATGTCTGTGTCCCACATTTTATCCCACACTTTCAACTCGGGAACCATAAAAGCTAGACGACTGTGTTCCTCGCCAGCGGGTGACGCGGCAAATTTAAATTCAGCCTCCCCGTACCCGCGGATAACACGTACGGACCCGTGAAAGTTTTTTACGGGTAAATTAATATCTCAGGAACCACGGAGTCTAGGAGGCTGAAATTTTGGGGTAATGACCCCATACCCGCACTGAACCTTGCCCATTCAAATTCAGCGTTCCTTCGCTCTTGAATATCACCTGCAGCCTCGTGAGAATTTTGGCGGTTAAACTATTAACTCGGGAATCACGAAAAGATATTCACCCTTCAAGATTTCGAATTCAGCTTTCATGCGCTGGTGCGTGAAATTTTTGACTGTTTCCCAATGTTTGAACTATTTTTGCATAGACATAAGTACAAAGCAGTGAAAATCATTAATAAGCAATCGTTCGATTGACTGAATTGCACAAAACGCATGATCGCAAGTCTGGTGCGCGTTGCTATTTATTTCTTGTCAGTCGCTAGCGTGTAGAGATTTCAAATCGATTGGTACTGTTTTAGTAAAGCCTGAGTTTGTCTCTTTAGAAATAAACAAAGAAAAACAATCTGTGATAGAAACATATTTAGCAAATCATAAGTTGTCTGTCATCATAATTTCTGTTGCGTGTTATGTGCAATTCTTGAAGAAATAAGCCAAATTCTTTTAACTGTAATTGTATAAGAAAAATTTCTTATTGTTTCAACAGTTTTGAGAATTTGTGTAACGAAGTATAATTTATCTTCGGTAATCAACACGTTCCTTTTAACATGGCGGAATGGAGCACTGTACTGATGATTCCCATCCCATTTCGCACCGATTCTGCCGCCTGTGTTTACAACTCAGAGATGAAACACAAGCACAGGTTACCAAGTCAGTGCACATACAGGCTTGCTTGTTTGGGAGATCTGAATGCTACTTCCAGTGTTTTTATTAATTGTCAAAATTCGACTGTGTTCCTCTCCACGGGGAGCCAATAATGCCAGGTAAACAGCATATTTTAACACATAAAGATTTCAGGCCCCTCTTCTCTCCCAGTCTTCTTGCCAGGAATATTCACTGTTCATATGTTTAAAATTTTAACAGCACTTTTTTATTATGAGGCGTATTTTTATGAACAGATCTACAGCAAGGAAGCTAAATTTTTTTATTTTTTTTCGTAACTTCCTCTGAAAAAAGCTGCCTTGTCATTTCAGCAATTACGAAAATTGGTGCTCGAATTGATTTTGCGTATGAGCTGTAACGAGACGATGAAGCAGTACGGGAGAATTTTACTCTCACAATTGATAAAACTAATTCAAGTTGAAAATGAAGAAAATGCACTGTTGGCAATCAAAATTATTGGTGAGCATCAACGTGCATTCAAAATCCCTTACTCACAAGAGGTACACTTTCCTTACATAATTTTCTTTACTTAATTTTTAGGGGTACGCTTTCTACTTTTATAACTTGTTGCCATCAGCTTGCTTCTAAGCAACCCTCAAAAGAGAGAGAAAGCATACTTGGCTACTGTTCGCGCCACTAA